ATCTCGCGCGCGGCATTTTGGACCCCAGAGTTGCGACGATGTCTGAGGCCTCCAAGGCACCCTAGATGGCTTCTAAGACGGCCCTGGTCCGCTGGCAGGCGGGGTCTGGGCCCAGACCCTGTGGGGTCGGAAGAGGTGCCCCCCCTAAAATGGCGGCCGGCGCCGCCTCGTTCGGCGGCGGAGATCCGCGATTCTACGCCGCCACGCTGGTTCCGGGCAGGCTGCGCTGCCCGGCGGAAGGGGGCGAGGAGGGGAGAAGCAGGCAGACGACGACGAACGCCCAGGCGGGAGGGCAGGGCCGGCGGGGCGGGCGGGCAGGCAGAAGACGGGCCAGGCGGAGACAGCAGGCAGGGAGCAGGAGGAAAGGAAAGGGAGGGAAGCAACGAGCAGAAGCGAAGGGAGGGGAAGGAGGGGGAGGAGGACAAGGAGGAGAGAAAGCAGCGGCCGCAAGCAGACAGGCCGGGCCAGGGGCCGGGAGAGAAGAGCCGCCCGCGACGAGGCCGCGGACCCTACGGCGGCGACCTGGGCGGGGTGGCCGCCCGAACCCAGCGCGATGCGGCTTGGTGGGGATTGCCCTCTGCGGGATCCATCCACCGCCCCGCCGGGGAAAGGCCGGGCGGCGCGTGGGAGGGGTCGCCGGCGCGACGTTGGCGAAAGGGCGAGGGGGGCGCCCGCGCTGCCCAGCAAGGGCGGGGGGGGGGGGGGCGGGGTGCGCTAGGCAGCGCAGGGGGCACCTCACGCGGCGTCTGCCGTGGAGGCCGCCGTGGCCGCGGCCAGGCGGGCCGCTGCCACCCCCGCCCCTCCAGACAGGGTCTGAAGGCGCCGCGACACCGCCCGCGCGTTCTCCCTGTGCAGGGAGACGGAAAGTCGCTGGGCATGTTGGTCCGCAACCAGAGCGGCGTCTTCCCCCGTGGCGTCAGCCACCCGCTTGGCCAGGACCCCGAAGGCCCTGCGTGCCTCGCGGCCCCACCCGCCGCCGTGGGCTTCCACCACCATGGGGGGGAAAGTGAAGCCCTGTGCCGCGCAGAGCCGCGCGGTGTCCTGGTGCTGCCTTTTGAACTCCTCGTACCGCTCCGTCGCTGCGCTTGCTGAAGCGGCCGACGCGGCGAGGAGATCGGCGCGCAACCCTGACGTGGCGGCAAAGTCCCAGGCGGCCGCCGTGCCGTTGCGCCACCGCGGCAGGTAGACGTCGGCAGGGCGGCGGCCGTTGTCGTCCACCTGGGACCCGCCCTGCTCGCCCCCGGGGGTGGCCTCCCTGGCGGGGCGCGCGGGTAGCAGCCCCGGGCGCTCCAACTCCGCCCCGGCGTGGCCGGCGGCCAGGGCGTCGAAGAAGGCCTGGTTGCGCAGGGCGTTGTGGCGTTTGGTCCGGTCGCCGCGGCAGGCGCAGACCAGGGCGCGGTCGCAGAAACCGCCCATCACCTCGCCACAGGCTGGGCAGAAGCACTCCTCCTGCAGGAGCTGGACTCGCAGCCGCCTCTGCAGGCCGACCTGCACGAGGCCGCGCGGGAAGGCGGTGCCGGTGGCCTCGCAGGGCGGCGCCTGGAGCCACGCGGCCGCGCCTGGGGCTTGCACCAGAGAGAGGTGCGCCTTGCCGGCCAGGGTGGAGCCCGCCAGAAGTCCGTCGAGCGAGGCGCTGTCCACCGCGTCGGAGAGGGCCTACTGGTTGCCGTGCTGCGCGTGGTCGAACACCACCCGGTCGGCGTCCCGCACGACTGCGTTGTGGGCCTGCACCGCAGCCGCCAGGCTACCTCCGTCGCGGTCGGGGTTGTTTGAGTAGCCCGGGTAGAGCTGCCGACAGAGGTCGGTGCTCTTCGCTCTGGAAGCGACGTAGGCGGCGGCGGCGTGCTTCGCGGCAGAGCGCAGGCCAAGTCCTCCCTTCCTGAGCTTTAGCTGAGCCTGCTGCCAAGAATCGTCGGAGGGCGAGCAGCCGCTCAGTTGCTCAATGCAGGCCCGGACAGCGTCGCCCATGGCCAGCAGGGAAGCGGCGTGCGCGGTGGGCGGCGCCACGCGCGCGGAGTAGCCCAGCTTGCAGAAGGAGGCGCACTGGCGCAGGAGGTGCAGCGCGACCTGCGCGTTTTCGAGCTCCCCCAGAGCTTCCAGCAAGTCGGTGGCGCTCGCGACCCGCTGCTTGGTGTGCTCCGCGCAGAAGTCCGCGTCTCCCACTGGCGCGCCGAGCAGCTCGAAGCTGCGATCGGTGCGGAGGCGGAAGCCCGGCGGGAAGCCGTCCAGAGACACGTCGGAGGCGTCTCCGCCAGTGGGGACCACCTCACACTTGCCCGGGCCAGCGCTCAACTGGAGGCCCACCGCGGCAAGGCTGGCCACGAGCAAGTGGAGGGGGAGCGCGACGGCCGGCGCGTCGCCCGCGAGGCAGCCGTCGTCCAAGTAGAAGAAACTCAGGTCGACGGCGCCGTCGGCGCCGTGGCGCGGCGCGCGAAGGGCGGCCTCGGCGGCGCGCTGTAGTGCTAGGGAGAACAGTAGGGGCCCCAGGGGGTCGCCCTGCTGCACCCCGCACTCGGAGCGGACTGTCTGATTGCCCAGGAAGAGAGTTGATGGGCGGGAGTAGCACCAGTCGGCCCAGGGTGCCAGCCCGGGAAACTCTTCGTGGACCGCGCGGAGCAGAGCCTGCCTGTCCAGGGTGTTGAAGGCGTTAGACAAGTCCAGCTTCACAAACACCTTTCCCCGGTCCCCGAGGTGGCGGGTCCACCACTGGCGCGCGACGTGCACCGCCGCCTCGGTGCCGCCAGGGACCGCGACGCCGATCTGGAGTGGAGCCAGTCGGTCGCGCGCGGCGTCGGCAACCTCGTGGCAGAGGCACTTGCCGACGAGGCGCCGGAGCACCTCCCCGACGGCAACAGGGCGCAGGCCCCCGTCCTTCTTCGGCAGGGCCACGAGAGAGGCGCCCGCGAAGTACTCGGACACGGTCGGCGGGGCCTGCCCCCTGGCGCAGAGGTTGACAAGGTTCCGGAGCTGGTCGGTGACCTCGTCCCTGTGGGCCGCGTTGAGCAGTGCGTCTTTGAGGTGTTGGGGTCGGAGGCCCGTTGGCCCGGCGGCCGAGCCCCGGGGGAAGGCCCGCACCTCCCTACGGACCGCGCCCCCGTCCATCTGCAGAGCAACAGCCGCGTGGACAGCCGGAAGGCTGGCGGAATCCACGGCTTGGCGGCTGCGCGGGTGCTTCCGGCTCATCTGTTCAACGACGTCGGGGGTGACCTCCACGGGCGGCTCGCTGGTCAGAGCCGAGCAGCTCTTGGAGTACTGGGCGTCTGCGGCGAGCTGCACGCACCTCTCCGCTCGCTGGGAGGCTTGCGAGGCGTGCTTGGCAGCGCGAGCCTCGACTGCCTCGGCCCACAGGGAGGCCCGCTCCCCGTCCAGCCAGCGCCGGCACAGCGCCTTGGTCTGCGCTTCGCCGGCCGTCCTGCTGCCTCGGCCGCCACGGGTGTGAGGGCGCAGGACGCATTTCGGGAGCATCGCAAGCTCTGTCCACGCAGCCTCGCAATTGTTGTGCGCGGTCTGGGCCGCCGTCTGCACTAAGCACCGTGCCCAGAGGTCCCGGGCGCCCTTCGGGACGTAGCGCTTGGTGGTGGAGCGCTTGGAGAAAGCTTCCCGGAGGGAGGGGGGACCCGCGGGCTCGCTGCGCGTTTGGCCGCCAGCGGCGGGAGCGGCGGCTGCCACGGCTGCGGCCGCGCGCGCGGCAGGGCGGCAACGCGGGCAGATGCCGCCGAAGCGCGTCGACAAGAACCGTTGGCAGACCGAGCATTGCTTCAACCGGTGCTCTTGCAGGTACTCGGGCGGGACTGGTGGCAGCCCAGGGAACCGCCCGGCGGCGTGCTCGTTCAGGTGCGGGCGCATGCTTTGGTGGCCCCCCCCAGCCGGCGGAGGACGCGGCGTCGCCGCGCGGGCACCCAGGGACGGGGCAGTGCACCCGGACGCGGGCACGAACCCTGCGCTGGTGGGCAGGATCGGGCGCCGGGGGAGGGGGGGCAGGTATCTCTTGCCCGGCTGGCGGCGCTGCCTGTGGAGCCACGGGCGGCGGGGCGCCCTCCCCAGGAGCGCTGGCCGGGGGGCGGTTGAGAGCCTCGGCCCGGCGCTGTTCCTCCAAAGGAATCCCCGCGCCCACATGCATGTCCCTGGCAGGGTCGAGATTCAACCCGCCGAGTCCCACGACCAGGAGCGGCTCATCCCCATCAGTCCGGTTGCGCCGGAGGTGTCGCCCAGGGGAGCGAACCGCTGGCCCCGCCTCGACAAACGTGTTGCTCACGTGGACCTCCTGCCTCGCTGGGCCCGCAGAGGCAGAGGAAGCCGCCGCGGCGCTCGGACGCTGAGGGCTGCGGGAACCGCCCCGCCGGCACGTGCACCGATTAGTCTCCCATTGGCACGTGGCGCAAATGCCATCCGAAGCGGGGAAAGCAGGCGCGGTGACCGCCCGAACGAGGAGGACCACCTGGCCGGCCCAAGCAGCGGGGCTCGTTGGGCAGAACCACGCTGGGCTGAGGGCCGCCGTGGAAGCCAGCGTCAAAGCCTCGCACAGGGGGCGTCGGACGTGGAAGTCGTGAGCGAGGGCCGTCGCACAGATCGCTGCCAAGCCCCGCTGCGCGGGTCCGCCGTGCACCATAGCCCAAGAGGTACTTCTTAGCGGCATGGTTCCATGTAGTGATATTAGCGGCGTAGAGCGATAGAGACCCCCCCTTCCCACTTGCGTTCCCCTTAGCCTGAGAGAAGGACGGGTCGCCAAAATTGGCCGCGTAGTCTATGCACGGGTGGTCGGCGATCGCTGCCTCACTTTTGCTCACGAAAAGCACGGCTATCACGAGCATGAGGAGAACCTTCAGCTTCGCCGCCGTCGACCTGCATGGTGGTCTCTCGCCGTGGGCTGGTGCTGCGCCGCTCTGGGGGCTGCGACGTGGCACCGCGCCTGCCGCGGGCGCCCTCGGCCCGCCCGCCGCCGGGGCCGCCGCTGGCGCCCGCCCCCATGGCTGCCTGGCGGGCTGCTCGCGCCACTGCGCCTGGGGCGGGCGCCACGCCTGCCGCCGCTGGCCCAGGTGGCGCCAGGCCGCCTGGGGCTGGGGCGCCTGGGGCCTCGGCGGCGGCGGCTGGCGCGGGGGCGCCCCCCGCGGCCCCGCCTGGCACCTGGATGCCAAGGTGTCCTGCGATGGCGGGGCTGGCGGCGAGGAACTGGGCGAAGATGCGCTGCTCGGCCTCGCCCATGGTCGCGGCGCCAGCGACTGGGGGCGCGGGCACTGGTGCCTCCGCAGCGCCCTCCTCTGGGCGCACCATGGCCGCCCACTCCCTGGACTTGGTGGCGGCCGTCTCCGTGGCTGCTGCTTCTTGAACCACGGCGACGGCGAGGGAATCTTCTGCTTGCTCCAACTCTTCACGTAGCTGGTCGACACGCTTCTGGCATTCATCCTTATAGGCGGTGGCCCTTTGCATGGACCGCTTGGCGAGGCTGGCTTGCTGAGATAGCTGGGTCCCACGGTCGGCGCCCGTCTCCTCATCGTCGTCTTCGCCTCCGTCAGCGGCTGTAATGTACTGCTTCTTGAATACCTCCAACTGCGGGCCTCCCAGGAGCCCCTGCAACCCCTGGACGATACGCATGAGCTGCGGGTCATCCTCAGAGGGCTCCTCATTCTTTGGCATGTTGGAGAGCAGCATGGCCCCGCACTTGCACAGCGGGTCCTTGTACGCACGACTGATCCACTTCCACTTGCCACACGTGTCACACACAACGTACTGTTTATTCTGCTCCTGCTTCTTCCATTATCCGTTCTTGTCTCTGGACCAGCCTTTCCAGTCTGAGGTCCAACCTCCGCGGCGGCCATCACGCTGCTGCTGCCTGCTGCCACGCTGCGAGCTCCAGTTTACCATGGGCGGCTGCGCGGCTCTGGGTCCGTGGCCGAAATGGCCGTCACTGCTGGCCGCGCTTGAGCGGGGTTGGGAAGTCCAGGAGCAGGCCCCTTGAGCCAAAATGGCTACGGCTTCCTCCTCCTCCCTCCTCCTCCTCCTCCTCCTCCTCCTCCTCCTCCTCCTCCTCCTCCTCCTCCTCGTCCTCCTTCTCCTCCTCATTCTCTTCTTCCTTATTTTTTCTCCTCGCCCTCCTCCTCCTCTTCCTCCTCCTCCTCCTAGTCATCCTCCTCCTCCTCCTTGTCGGGCGCCTGCGGGATCTCCTCAAGCACGCAGTGGGCGTTGGTGCCCCCGATGCCGAAGGAGCTGACGCCTGAGCCGGAGCGGGATCCGGCCAAGGAGTCAAACGGGCGACCCAAAATGCGAAAAGCGACAACTCCTCCAGGCCAAACCCACCCGGAGAGCCAAAACCGCTCTGGCCATCCTGCCCCTGCTCCTCCTCCTCCTCCTCGTCCTCCTCCTTTTCCTCCTCCTGCTCCTCTTTCTCCTCCTCCTCCTCCTCCTCCTCCTCCTCCTTCTCCAGCGCCAACGGAGACGCGCGAAGGAGAAGAGGGATGGGAACAGCAACCGCGGCCAAAGCAAGGAGGAATGATTATAAAAAGGCTGTTCTGCTCGGCTCTCCGATGCCCTCGCGATGCTCCGGCTAGTTTGCCCATGCTGGAACTCCTGGCATGTGAACACCTGCTACTGTGGCTGCAGCTCCACGACCGAAAAATCGACCGAACAAATCAGCCTGCACACAGGAGGCTACGGAGACACAGCTTGGGCACAGCGGGGAGGCGGGCGATCGCCCTGTCCCGCCGAATTCCTTCGTCGTGGGACCGCCCGGGCGCGCGCGCCGCGCCTGGGGAAGGGACCGGGAACCGCTTCCAGTCGCGAGCGCAGGGCCTGGGAAGGGACCGAGACAATGACTCGAGCCAAAACTGGCTATGACTCCTCTGCCTCCTCCCTCCTCCTGCTCCCTCCTCCTCCCCCTCCTCCTCCTCCTCCACCTCCTCCTCCTCCTCCACCTCCTCCTCCTCCTCCTCCTCCTTCTCCTCCTCCTCCTCCTCCTCCTCCTCCTCCCTCCATCCTCCCCCACCACCCCCACCACCATCATCATCATCATCATCATCATCTCATCATCATCATCACCATCATCATCATCATCATCAGCCATAGCAGCATCGCATCATCAATCATCATCATCAACATCATCATCATCATCATCGTCATCATCCCATCATCATTCATCATCATCATCATCACCATCATCATCATCATCATCATCATCATCATCATCATCATCATCATCATCATCATCATCACCATCGTCATCATCATAATCATCATCAGCAGCATCATCATCAACATCATCAGCATCATCATCATCATCACCACCACCACCACCATCATCATCATCATCAGCATCATCATCATCAGCAGCATCATCATAGTATTCCTCCTCCTACTCCTCCTCCTCATCCCCCTCCTCCTCCTCGTCCTCCTCCAAATCCAACTATGCCTCTTCCTCCTCCTGCTCCTCCTCCTCTTATTATTCATAGTATTACTAGTATGATGTTCTTCTTCGTCTTCTTAGCAGCATTATGATTATTACTGTTA